ACGACCACCGCTATTCACTTGTGCCAGTCAGTGAATGCTTAACAGAACAAAATGAAAAGGTTCTTCGGATGTACTGTTACATGGCAATAGGCTGTCATAGAGGAGTCAGGTGTGCAGCCTGAGTATACCCGCATTCTGTAAGGCATATGGCATTGCTCTGCCACTTTAAATCGGCTCCCATCCCGCAGCACAGCTAAGGATTAGGTCAATATGAATACATGTACGGGTTTATGACCATTGTCTCACGATATGAGACTGTAGGAACTCTCAAGGTTGGAGATGTTGTCCTTCTTCCAGTCAAGAAGTCTGGAGCTATTACCCGCTACTGAAAGATACACCCAGCCGGAATAGTGTATCTCGCACTGCAAGCCGACACACGATACTACGAGGAAACCCCCTGTAAAGCTGCCGACCCCGCAAAACACCCACGTTATTATTTGTAGTAGTACAGTACTTGAAAGATGTTGCCGGGCAAAATTCTCAAAACGTTGTTGTTTGTACTATTTGACAGGAAAGAACTACTTAATTCATTTCTTTTCAACGAAAAATCATGATCATGACCGTGTACCACTTGTTACATACTCAATATAGGTATAGGAAGTTGATCTGATTTACTGACTTCTGGTGCTTTGATGTTGTTATGATCATGTAAGGAAGTAGAGCAATCGCAACAGACAAGTCTATAAATTTTACAAGGTACGCTTGGTAAGCGGGTGAAACAACCTTGATTGAAGAAACGGAAGCTCCATACTACGTCATAATCATGATGATGCTTGGCAAAATCGGCTTTAAAACTAATATAGTATAGTAGTATAGTACTAGAGTGCTTAAAAGATTCAAAGATTCAATACAAGGTAATGACACTGAACTCTGAGTGCTAGTTGGATATGTGATCTGTTTAATTTTTGATTGTGCAGGACAAAGAAGATACTGTACGCTTACTCCGTACCTTGGACGGGTTACGAATGGACGCAAAATCCTGAGGAAGGAACATAACCCCTCTCCACAAGATGGCCAGGCACGCGCCTGGTACCCGTTCACATTGACTGTATCATGTGGCTTCGGGTATCACGTGACTGGAAGAGGAGGAGCCGCAAGAATGGCTGTGATGCGGTGCATGGAAGATGGTACTTTGCAATGTTTAGGGAAGATACACATGTAGAAGGGTAGCTAAGCTCAGGCAGAAGTAAATGAGCGATATGACTAATACAAGTACTTCCAAAATATAAAAGTAGAGGTATAGCACTGTTCACGATGAGAGTCAACTCAACAATAACATTGGGGTTGGTGAAAGTTGGACATAGCAAGATGGAACGGGAAACGAAAAACGGTAAACATGGAGAGTAGGTGCAACAACGAGAAACTAACGTGCGAAACAATAACATGCATGGTAAAACTTATCAAACTGACCCGACAGCAGAATTATCGAGATCTGAACTGACAGACAGACAGGCGTTCTTGTGATCACAGCGACCCTTTTATACCAGACTGTTAGGAGGTTTTGCGGCAACAAGGCGATGACTACATGTCCTTCGAATGACTCTCCGTAGCGCAGCCTTTACATGTAGACCAGAAGGAGCAGCTGAAACTGGGAGAGCTTTTTGGTAAGAGACAGAGAGACATACGCGCACACAACAATAACAACCGTATACGAAAATGGGACAGCTCCCACAGGTGATTCTCAATAAAACTGCCTGAGAAAACAAGACAAAGAACAGAAGGGAAGACAAGCTGGCGAAGGAAGCATAGATAATTATAGTGAATGGGATATTCTAGCTCTGACCATTTGCTGATGGGTCTGACAAACACACCTTCCACGCCGTAGAAGACGCGTTCCCAGGGATTCGGAAAACTAAGCCTGACTCAATCGTACACGGACGGTGAAAAAACATCCGATGACCAGGTTCCTAAGCCCTCTCGCTTAGGCGAGGAATACATATTGTGTGCTAATCGCACCGCAACAGTGTAGTAAAGGACACATATGGACTTCCAAAGGGATCGTGTACGCAAGTCCAGAACTAAAGCGAAGCACATACACAATTACGTACACAAATGTGCCAGACATTCAGAACACTATATGGCCTCGGGCAAAGTCATCATGGCTCCAAAAACTAATTCTAACCCAGCAGGTCAAAGTGGCAGGGGATTGAGACTGGGAAAGAAAAGGACAGCACAAGGTGAAACACTCAACGTTACAGTCCGTTTCAAAAAGACTTGCAATCCTGGCGATCGCCCGCGGAGTTTGGCGTCTTACCGTATGAGCACTCGAGCGCTGCCTGGAAAAACTCACTGTGAACGCGAAGAAATATTCCGCGCGAACGCAGGAAAAATGACAACTCACTCACGTTGATACAGTCATGTACATCTGGTTTACAACAAACGAGTTCTTCTTCGTATCGATAATGGAGTCAGAGAGGACATGTCGAAACGAAAGAGTTGTAAATGTTGACGAGCGGCATGTGTCCCAATTCGTTTTGTGACCAAAATAGTTTCTCTGAGCTGCGATGCAGTTTACTCACCGTGTGACGAAAACGACATCGACACGGACTCATTCCCAAGGCAATGACTTGCCGGGCAAAAGCTATCCATGTGACTTCGACGAAATTTTGAGAAAAGCAGACGCTTGTGAACGCTGATAGAAGACGGCGTTGACTGCTTAATTCAAATCAATTGGCGATCTTGAAACTAAAATAAATCTCAAAAAGCTACAGCGCGATGACTTCCATATTCACTCACGCCATTGCAGTGTTGTGGGTGTGTTCACATGGCGTGAGCCAGTCAAGTGTCAGTCAGTTCGGCAGGAAGCGCGAGCTTCAACAACAAGTCGTTTGGTGCAGCCATCTTCTTTGTCTTGTACCAGCTTGATCACCAAAACAATGAAAAAAAAAGTTTGACTTGAGGATAGGTTGGGATTTGAACTCACAACTAATTACCGGTACTTCATGGTCAGCAGACAGCATTCATAACCACAAGGCCAAAAAGGAAAGGATAAATCGTGGGTTTTGATAAAAAAATCGATACTGGCTTCCTGGGCAAATTCTAAACCATGGGAAAAGGCTGGAAACCTGGCCGAAATTCTAACTCCTTAACGGCTGGTCCAATTGTTCCGAAACCTTCACAGAACAATTTGCCGTGTCCTAACAAGCCATTCTATGTACTTTGTTGTCCAAATTTCCCTTATCTACATACTTTTTAAGACCCAAACCTGATTGTAAATCTTTTTGAAACAGACTATAGGAGCTGTTGTCTAGGTGAGGCATACGTACGGTAAGAAGACACCTGTGGATATTTGGAATCCAAGGATACTTGGCCCTTCCCTGGGCATTAGACCAGCAATCACTGTAAGATCTGCACTGTCATGACGCCTATTGCCACAGCAGATGCATAGCATCTCATCAAAGATGCTATGCATCTGCTGTGGCAATAGGCGTGATCACGGTTCAGCCTATCTCCAAGAATTCTTGCCAATGCAATACTGCTAGCGTTATAACGATAGTCTCTGCATGTTCTGAGCAGAGCATGCAAGAAATATAATGCATCTTACCTCCTCCCTCATGGTCCGTTTCGAATAGCGCCTCAGGAACGATCGTGATCGTGTGCATTGTGTCGTGTACCAGAAAGCATTATTCTACGTCACGATCAGCAGCGGTGATCACTTGTCACTCCAAACCACAAGCTTCTCCTTGCGCCACCAACATTTTTCGTTGCAACAGTTGATGCAAAAGTGACTGAATTTTTGCGTGTAGTTTTTGGATTTTACTGCAAGAGGAATGATGAAATCACGTGCCTCGTGACACAAGAATGCCAGGTCTCGTAGGTCTTCTAGATCATTGTTCCCTTCAAAAGATTTTGTGCGGGCTTTGGAATGTTGATCTACACCCCAAAGCAAACCTACCGGCAAAATTTGAGCGAAATCTGAGAGATCGACTTGCACATATGTTCTGGTTTTCTCAGACATGCTCTCTGAAATACATTGATATGCATTACTTGTATTGTCACTTCATCACGGATCAGCTTATGAGAAGGCTAGCCGCGCTTGCTTAGCGATGCCGACGCAAAAACGTCGAAAAAATAATACCCGCTAGAGGACTAAAGAGCAGAGCGATGTGATGGGACCTGTTTACATCTTTGTCCACTTACAGTAGTGCAATAAATGTCAACAGTGTACATGTACATGTACATCGAGGATGCCACTTGTTCTCTGATTGTAATGCTACATGATTGCCAAAGTACCCTGGTCACCACCCCCTGCAATCACAATACCCACTATAGGGCTGAGCAAACAAGACCACTGTGTAATGATTGAGTTTTATTTTTTTATTGTAACAAACTTGATTTTGGTTTTTGATTGAAGTTCTTTATTTTACACATGGATTTTTCTGATTTCTTCTCCAGTGTATTATTTATTGCATTTTTAAACCATTGTATTAATTTGCCCGTGAAAGAGCCCGAAAAAACCCGTGTAGGTGATATGTTCCGTAGGATGTCAATCCGCGGAGGCACCTCACAACCAGCAGATGGGTTTGATGATATGATTGCTTTTACTACTTTTATTAGAATGACTACTCAATTATATTATGGGAAGAGATGGCCAATGTCAGATCCGAAAAAAGGACACTTCAATAAGATGAAATAGAAAAGAAGACAGACAATGTAACGAGGAAGAAAAACAATCGATTGAACAAGATGTCAGAATAAAACACGCAATGGCAATGTTTCGGGGGGTGGGGGATGGAAGGGTGGCTAAGCCAACAATGGATGAACGCAATGATATCAACTTGCTTAGGATTAGAGGGATTGACAGAGAGGACTGTTCACAACGACAGCCATCCCAACAATATTATTTGCTGTCGGTGTAACGAAAATGTGACGCAGCAAGGTGCAAAGGAAAACGAAAAGAGAAAAAGAATATATGGAAGAGTAGGCGCTAGAATCGAGAAACTAATGCTTGTAACATTCCCACGCATCACAAACCTTAGCAAACTAATCCGACGGCAGAATTATCGAATCCTGAACTGACATACTGACAGGCGTTCTTGTGAGCATGGAGCATCGTTAAACATTCCAGTACCACCATCCATCTCCACACAGTCTCCACCGCCCGGACCCACGTTGTTCGGCTCGCCCTTCAGAAAGTTGTTGATCACAGCGGGCCGCCCAGAGACATCTACGAACCTTCCCTCGGTTTTGAAATCATTGTAGAACAACCAGACACCAGGAACGCCTGTGAATGGGCGGATGAGATTCTCCAGGACAATGAATTCTTGCATGTTGCTCGGACTGGCCAAGTCTCCACCATTCCGTCGGCAGTTTCGGCGCGCTTCTCCACGGGTCATGGGGCGATTCTCGTAGCGGTAGATCAAAAGTCCAGTTCTGGAGTTTCTGCAACACTGGACAGTCATTTAAGCTGTTCTTGCCTCGCGCTTGCTCACAGCACTGGAGGTGCTATTGACCTTCTTTGCAGTTGTGTAATCACCTGCTGCACGTCGCTCCTCCGCCAGTTGACGTGCCTGATCTATCTCTTCTTCGTCCATGGAGGATAAGTAATCTTCAGCATTGCGCTTACTCTTATCCGCGGTAATGTCGTCAGCCAAAGTCATTGAGACCAGGCACAGAACAAACGTCAGAGCAATGGTAAGACGCATCATGGTTGTGTCACTAGAGGAAAGAATAATTATATTTCTGATAATTAACACAGCTGGCAATAGCGACTGGAGGTTGGAATTGATCAAATGAGGGTTTCGTCCCTGAACTTAGTCAGCTCATCATGGTCCTTTTATACTCGCTTTCGTGAGATCTTTGAGGCGGGCAGGTGCTGACTAGTTACTATACTATAGCTCTTTGTTCCTGTAATATCGCTAAAATGGACAGTTGACGCTGGGGGAGCCGTTGGTTAGAGTAGGGACAAGCCATACGAAAACACGTACATAATGCACACAGTCTTTAGCATGAACTTGTTGAGGGCATGGGAAAAGGAAAAGTCTGTGAAATACAAAATGACTTTCACCACTTTAGTATCTGCCGATTATACGTCACTGCTGATGCAGTGAGACTTCCATCAGAGTCGGGGCGCCGCTGCGGTGAAGACACAATGGCAACTGTTTTTCATTTAAATTACCCAGGCAAGGACCAAGCATTCTTGGATTGCAATCACTGCTGGTTTCTAGTTACCGAATGTTTGGCCTCGTCAAGCGCTCATGACGTAGGGATATTTCACCTTGTGGCGTTCTTTTCTCATCCTGTCGTAGGCGTTGCCACATTGAAAAGCTGGGTTGGCGGAAGGTATTGGAGCCAATATACTTAGTTATGGCCACGCGGTGTCCGTAAGATCGACGTCTAATTTTTCTTATCCTGCCGCTACTGAGGTTATCCCTCCCAATCATTCAATTTTATACATGTAGGTGTAAAAGCGTCACCCACTACCTTGTTCAGGCAAAGTTGGAGAATGCCTGAATAGTTTCAAAGCTGACTACGCCCTTCTCCTGCCTACAAACACACGCACACGCAAGCACCCATGCCATCCCTCTCTCACTCTCACACACACGTTGCCCGTGGACGACAAGGAATTTACGACATGCCGGCACCACGGAACAAAATCAATGGGCATGGATATCTTGACTCCGCTCGTCTCCAATAGCACCATGAATAGTTTTGAAACTTGGATGCTGAGCAAATAGTGTTCACGCTAAGCGACTTGCCTCGTTGTCGCACTATCTATCTGTATATATATCTCGTTACCTTGGTGGACTGTTCTGTCATAACTGGTAGCATATGGTTTTTTTACCTTTATTAAAATGTGAATAGTTTTGAATGTCCCCTATGCCTATGGTAGAGTGCTCGGCCAGCTGAGCAATGCTCGTTAAACTTCGATCCTTGATATGAGTGACGTCTTTCTCTAAGAGGTCTGCCATCAGGTAACTTAACGACGAATGGAACATGGAAAATACCAGCCGCGCTCTAACACGCGTGCGCTTCCATTACTGTTCATCTCCGGGTTCCCCAGGTTTGCATGCATAGTACAGTGTGCCTCTCAAGGGTGCAGTGCGTGTCCTGGACCTGATCTCAACTAGCGTGCTTGTGTTGCCGTCACCACTTAGCACAAGAGCGCTAGTACTAATAGTCTTTTGTACGGGCAAAACCAAAATTTGATCGTGACTGCCACAGGTGGAGTGTGATACCCAGGAGTACGCATTGTTCACATTATGCATAGTGCGAACACGGTGTTTGTACAAGCCACTTGGAACCAGTGGGTGTTCATACAGGAAAATCCAGTTGCATGCCAGGCATGTAAGATGTGGTCCGCGTATCCAGAAAATTTGGTGGATCGGGGGGAAATTTGATTTAGGCACCAACCTATTAAAGTGGCACAATTACATGCAGGTAGATGTTACTTGAAAGTAATATTCTAAAGGTCAAGGTATCGATTGCCGCACGGGATTGAGTCCGCCCTGCACACCCAGAAAATCATACATGTACTAGCAGTTAAATGGACAGGTATACGCACATGTACATGTACATGTATACGCACATGGTAAATGTAACGCACTAGCAGGCACTCCGCTAACGCAAACGCGCATGTGCACAAGGAGATAAGCCGAAGCTGGAATCCGAGCCGCTTGTCAATCTAATAATTATTGTGTAGGCTTTCTGGGAGACTGTAATTGCAATTTAAGATGAGTACTTTCCCAGTTGGTAATGCGAACATGGCAGCATGCGGTTGAAGACCATTCGCAACCAGCTCTAATTAAACCATACTGCGCCCACCGCACAGCATTCTTTCGGATCTGTGGAGAGTTGGCCGTTCCCAGGGCATTCTAAGACCTGTCACCATAGCATTATTAAGGATATATTGGCGTCGCCTTTTCGTACTCAGTGAGACGTAGGGTGTCTAAGCCAAAAATACTAAGAGGATCCTGAAGCAGTCGGCACCTCCCCGTTAAAGAGAGTAGCTAGCACACAGTATAAAATGGGAAGCTGAAACAACAGAAACCAAACCAACAGTTGATCCACATCGGTCATATAATTAGTCGATATTGACAAAATTAACCTTCAGAAAATATTCTCTACTTTCCAGTGAAGTGAATATGATGCGTCTTACCATTCTTCTGGCGTTTGGTCTGTGCCTGCTCTCAATGACTTTGGCTGGCACAATTTCCTCAGAGGATAGCGGAAGCTATGCTGAGGTTCTCTTTGACTCCCTGGACGAAGAGGAGATTGACAAGGCACATAAACTGGCTGAGGAGACTGCATCGTATGCGAGCAAGAACCATGCTGAGGAGTACTTGGACAACCTGGACGAAGAAGAGATTGATCAGGCACGCCAAGTGGGTGCGGAAGCACATTCAGCAGGTGCAAAGAAGGGCAACAGCACCTCCAGTGCTATGGGCAAGCGGGAGGCAAGAACAGCTTCAATGACTGCCCAGTGTTGCAGAAACTCCAGAACTGGACTTTTGATATACCGCTACGAGAATCGCCCCATGACCCGTGGAGAAGCGCGCCGAAACTGCAGACGGAATGGTGGAGACTTGGCCAGTCCGAGCAACATGCAAGAATTCATTGTCCTGGAGAATCTCATCCGCCCATTCACAGGCGTTCCTGGTGTCTGGTTGTTCTACAATGATTTCAAAACCGAGGGAAGGTTCGTAGATGTCTCTGGGCGGCCCGCTGTGATCAACAACTTTCTGAAGGGCGAGCCAAACAACGTGGGTCCGGGCGGTGAAGACTGTGTGGAGATGGATGGTGGTACTGGCATGTTTAACGATACTCCATGCTCACAAGAACGCCTGTCTGTCTGTCAGTTCAGGATTCGGTAATTCTGCTGTCAGTTTGCCAAGGTTTGTGATGCACGCAATTGTTGGCCACGTGAGTTTCTCGATCCTCTACTTCCCCCCCCCCCCTCTCTCATTCTCTCTTATTTTTCTTTCTCTCAGTTCTATTTCTTATATTGCTATCTGCAACTTTGTTTCACAGCTTATGTGAATCAAGCATTGTTGACTGCTAGGGTGGTTATGGCTGTTAGCGGTGCATTGCATGTACTTCACTCCATCTGCCATTGGTGAAAAATCATGTCATTAGCGGTCTTTCAGTGCTAGCCTTTACCCCATTCCAGTTCCTCCTGAATTAGAATCAAAGTATTGAAGTTTCTGAGGTTGCATTTCATTGCATTAAAATGTATTGCTTCATGCCCCCCCCCATCCATGTTTGTATTGGCGTCCCAGGGTTTCTTCGCCGTGTCGTTTGCATTCACCCACGATTTAGTCATTCCAATACCTGCAATCCAATCTGGTCTCTGTTTTTGTGACTTGCGTGCTCCCAGTCAGTTTTTGGTGTGCGTCTGATGTAGACAGTGCTCGTCTTTACTCTGCATTAAAACATAATCGGCTTGGGTGAGACTCGGCTAGAGGCTGAGTGTCCCGCATCCGTATGAATGTCACCACCCATCTTTCAAGGATTTAAGTAACCTTATAATAACTCTCTTATTATTGACCCCCACAGAAACTTGTGATCTCTAAGCGGTCAAATATAAGCATAATATTGACCGCTTATATTGACCACTTAGTATTGACCACTTAGCCCTCGGCGAGGACTTTAAACTTTTTCCTCAACTTAGAAAAAAATCAGAACTGAAAGAAGAAAAATCTGAAGTCAAATGTTGGGATTTGAACCCAAACTGTCAGATTCTCAGTCAAAGAACTTGGGGAACATATGTACTACAAATGACAACTGAAAAGTTCTGTTTACAGAGAAGTAATGTCCAATGTAAACGGCATATGAACATACTATGTACTATTACAATAGTATTCATTTCTTCCTATAAACAAAGCTAAAAACAGCTTAGGTATGCTATGTCATGATAAATCTATTATCGCCCTCATAATCGGTCAATATATGAAATATATTGACCTCTTTAATCGTGCAATAATATATACTTAAAAGGTAGTTGCCGATCGGATTACAGTAGGAGCAGGTACGGATTTCCGTGATGCACATTATTGATGTTTGCTGAGTTTTGATGAAGACGGAACGCCATTTTTAAAATTCGCGTCTCCCAGAACGTTCATCTTTGCGCTCTGTGGCCAATCACATACATGTACATGTACTTGTGTGCATACACTCCTTTGCCCAACTTTCAAAGGCTTACCCTCTGGATATGTAACAAAATGTGTTCCAGAACTCTGTTTAATTACATGCACATGTATTTCATTACAATGTAGGTTGACCCAATGCTGTAGACAGCAAGCTGGTTCGGACTTTTAAAAGCAGGGCCTCCGCAAGCAGTTTTCAATTGGTCCGGTCGTACCATTGTCTTTTACACTTTGTGTATACTGTATATTAT